CAGGGGGTGGGTGGGCGCGAGGAGGGGTTGGCGGGATATGGGTTGGAGGAGGAGAGAGCGCTTCGGAGTTTGAGTTTCTGCTGTCATCTGATTGGGCAGGGGGCGGGGCAGAAGCAGGGGCTGGGACTGGGACGGAGATGGGGCCTGGGGACGGAGGCTCAGGCTGATTGGCCGAAGAGTCATCTGAGTGGTGTTTGGTCACAGGAGTCATCCTCTTTGGAGGAATGGGAGGAGATCGCTTGACTGGGACCTGGACTTGAGAGGGATCCACTGTAGAAAAATAAATAAATAAATGCAATCAAAATAAACTTCACAAGAAATGAGGGTTAAAGCACATGTGGCAACAACAAATTAGTCGGTATGAAAGAACAATGATTTGCATGCCATGGAATTAATCATATGGTATTAGTACAAGATGAGGAGGGATTTAATATTCTAAGATAATAGATTCTACAGATAATATTCTAAAGATAAGTGTTTTAATATTAAGGTCTAAAACATACCACTCTATGCAAGTTTATGAACGCAAATCCTTTGGCTGAGACCTGTTCACACCAAGGACGATAAATGTAACGATAACTATGAAGTTTTAATAATTGTTAATAATTGGGAAGTCCACATCACAACTATAACAATGGCACAGAGCAACAATATCGTCTGAATCACTTTCAGAATTTTTTTCACAGATGCACAATTAAAACAGACAGTTAATCAGAACTCACGACTTTAAAGAGCAAAAGCATTTAAAGCAGCAAACAACAAAACTGCAGTGTGTGTTTATAGTAATCAGAACATAATAAACGTCCATTGGTGTGGACACTAATACAGTTGTCATTTGTTATAGTTTTTGGTGTGAACGGGCCTTAAAGGCCTTTCTTCAAAAATCAGGCCAACTACTGTCATGGCAGAGCAACGGTTAGAATTGAATCAAGTTAGCAAGTTAGTTAAAATGAACATGACATCTAAATCAACCCTACTTCGTTTCTTAATGCCACGTTAATACACAGACGTGAAGAAAATAACTCCTATCTTTGGTACTGTGACAGTGCAGGTTAAGTATGCACTTGCAACGTGTCGGCCAAGCATTCATGTCTGGATTTGTGCACTTGCGTAAAGTATGTTTCTGGGCTAAATGTCAAAAATCTTCACCTTACATGCAGGCCAGGTCTATATTGAAACCTCTAAAAATCCTCTAGACAGTGGACACTGCCACTCAGTACTTGCTGTTCAGTGACACTCAGTCAATTTTTAAATTCTGCAAGAGGGTGTTAGTATACAGGTACATTTTCAGATGTCAACCAGATTGATTCTGAATTGTATCTTCTTTACTGGTTATTCTGTTAATCTTCAATCGTGGTTACATGTAATTTTCATATCCTTTGAATAGGATGAACTCTACTCCATTCATTAGTTCTCAGTAATTGCAGTGATTTTGAGCAGGATCATGGAGATCTTGAGTATGGGTGTGAAAACAAGCATGACTCTGTGAGGTTATTAGAGCATTAGGACATGCATGCCAGATGGTGTGGGACGGGACGGCACCAGGGCTACCTGGGCAGAGCTGAGCGCCCCTGTGGCTGAGGTAGGTGGGCAGGGAGAGATAGACTCCAGACTCTGCCTGCCGTCTCCAGCTCGTCCAGTACTGAGGAGGCGGAGCTTTGTAATGTCTTTGTAACGTTGAAGCTTTGGGGTGGACGAAGGGAAATGTGTTTTTAGCATCTCGAACAACAATCACACGTACTGTTGGACACTGGTCCAGTTCAAAAGGTGACACCTATTAAAACCTCCAAGCCCTTAAAGGGATAGTTCAGCCAGAAATGAAAAATCTGTCCTCTGAAGATATGATTACTTTATATGGTGAACAGATGTAATTTAGGCTTTTCCTCACCTATAAACAGTGATCAACGCACATACATAGAGCTCGTCAAATATGGTAAATGGAAGCTCAAAGGTTTGATGTGTGAAAACCAATGAGGTTTGCTCTTGCAGCAATGTTTATATGCAAATAAATGCTTAAATTAAATCGGTTTATCATATAAAATAATTGTTTATATTTAGAAGACTTGGATTAAACTGCTTGATTCATTTTGATTTTTTTTACAGTGATCTTATGAAATTTTTGAAATGTCAAAGTTTTGGTGGAATCACTTTAAATAGAGGAACGGAAAATGTTCAAGTTTCATTACAAATGTCTTCATTTGTCTTATGGGTTTTGAACGACATGAGGGTGAGTAATTGATGACAGAATTTTTTAGGGACGGTAAGCTATAAGTAAGTTAAAACTATCAGTAAGAGCATCCCAACATGTCATCTTCTGACTCAACCAATAGCAAAAGTATGATGAAAGGCAGTAGAATGCATATGATTATTTGCGACTCGTTTGGTTTTATCAGTAGTCCAGAAAGACACACTTCAGCTATAAGCTAGTGGCGACTTCAATTGTGGTAAAGTCAAATCTACAAAACAAATTTAAAGCATTTAAAGTAAATTGAGCTGAAATGAATTGAGAAAATGATATATCTTAAATACAAGTGAAAAATGTAAGCAAAACTTCCAACAACAAAGCCAGTATAAACCAGTTTGTGGGAAACACTTCAATTGACACTTCAATTCAAATCGACTGTATTTAACCAAACCAGCCTCACCAAAAAAAGAAAAAGATAAGGCAAATCTAAGAATACACATCAGTAAAGTCAATGGCCTCATCCAGTTTTAATATTTTTCATTATGTCAGCCTCTCAACTGTTTAAGAAATACAACTGAAATGGTCCTGGTATCTGGACTAGGGGCGCCTATAAATGGATCCCGTTGAACAGGGATGTGTGTGCTGTATTTCTGACACTTGGGCAGCTGCTGCCTGCCTCTCATGCCACTGGGCCACGACATATCTAGGTGTCATTGAGGGGAGAATCCTCTAGACAGTGGACACTGCCACTCAGTACTTGCTGTTCAGTGACACTCAGTCAATTTTTAAATTCTGCAAGAGGGTGTTAGTATACAGGTACATTTTCAGATGTCAACCAGATTGATTCTGAATTGTATCTTCTTTACTGGTTATTCTGTTAATCTTCAATCGTGGTTACATGTAATTTTCATATCCTTTGAATAGGATGAACTCTACTCCATTCATTAGTTCTCAGTAATTGCAGTGATTTTGAGCAGGATCATGGAGATCTTGAGTATGGGTGTGAAAACAAGCATGACTCTGTGAGGTTATTAGAGCATTAGGACATGCATGCCAGATGGTGTGGGACGGGACGGCACCAGGGCTACCTGGGCAGAGCTGAGCGCCCCTGTGGCTGAGGTAGGTGGGCAGGGAGAGATAGACTCCAGACTCTGCCTGCCGTCTCCAGCTCGTCCAGTACTGAGGAGGCGGAGCTTTGTAATGTCTTTGTAACGTTGAAGCTTTGGGGTGGACGAAGGGAAATGTGTTTTTAGCATCTCGAACAACAATCACACGTACTGTTGGACACTGGTCCAGTTCAAAAGGTGACACCTATTAAAACCTCCAAGCCCTTAAAGGGATAGTTCAGCCAGAAATGAAAAATCTGTCCTCTGAAGATATGATTACTTTATATGGTGAACAGATGTAATTTAGGCTTTTCCTCACCTATAAACAGTGATCAACGCACATACATAGAGCTCGTCAAATATGGTAAATGGAAGCTCAAAGGTTTGATGTGTGAAAACCAATGAGGTTTGCTCTTGCAGCAATGTTTATATGCAAATAAATGCTTAAATTAAATCGGTTTATCATATAAAATAATTGTTTATATTTAGAAGACTTGGATTAAACTGCTTGATTCATTTTGATTTTTTTTACAGTGATCTTATGAAATTTTTGAAATGTCAAAGTTTTGGTGGAATCACTTTAAATAGAGGAACGGAAAATGTTCAAGTTTCATTACAAATGTCTTCATTTGTCTTATGGGTTTTGAACGACATGAGGGTGAGTAATTGATGACAGAATTTTTTAGGGACGGTAAGCTATAAGTAAGTTAAAACTATCAGTAAGAGCATCCCAACATGTCATCTTCTGACTCAACCAATAGCAAAAGTATGATGAAAGGCAGTAGAATGCATATGATTATTTGCGACTCGTTTGGTTTTATCAGTAGTCCAGAAAGACACACTTCAGCTATAAGCTAGTGGCGACTTCAATTGTGGTAAAGTCAAATCTACAAAACAAATTTAAAGCATTTAAAGTAAATTGAGCTGAAATGAATTGAGAAAATGATATATCTTAAATACAAGTGAAAAATGTAAGCAAAACTTCCAACAACAAAGCCAGTATAAACCAGTTTGTGGGAAACACTTCAACTGACACTTCAATTCAAATCGACTGTATTTAACCAAACCAGCCTCACCAAAAAAAGAAAAAGATAAGGCAAATCTAAGAATACACATCAGTAAAGTCAATGGCCTCATCCAGTTTTAATATTTTTCATTATGTCAGCCTCTCAACTGTTTAAGAAATACAACTGAAATGGTCCTGGTATCTGGACTAGGGGCGCCTATAAATGGATCCCGTTGAACAGGGATGTGTGTGCTGTATTTCTGACACTTGGGCAGCTGCTGCCTGCCTCTCATGCCACTGGGCCACGGCATGTCTAAAGTTAACTTTCCTCAGTGACACTTTAAACCATCAGCGTGAGCTCTCTTCTAGTTTAATTCAGTCCACAAAATCTACTGGAACAACCGATAGAAAATTAGCTGCATATTAATGCAGCAAATTATGGCTGAACTCACTGATTCAGCCAATCAAACATTTAAACATAATATAAGGGTGGTTACTTTCATCCATGATTTGGTTCATGGCTTAGAATTCTGACTGAAGGATTTTCTAAAATGTCTATGGAGAAAATGAAAGGGAAAAATACATCCAGAACCCAGGTGGCTGAAAAAGTGGGCGGTCTCTATTGTACTAATAACAAAAAAAGCTGAGAACAAAAGTACAGGGAGTTCTCATGTCTGTGAGCAGACAGAGCACCAGCTGCTATGCAGGACAAACAGACACACTTAATTCAACAGGAACATTAAACACACACACACACTTACTTTTATTCCATCCCTGATTTGTTGTGTACTGTACAGTACATTCAAAACCTGTCAGACAACAAACATGTCTCAGTGTAGCTGTGTGTATTACCTCAGAAGTGGCTGACCCCGGGGCCGCTGCAGCACTCAGAGACAGGTGTGTGAGATATGAAGCTGCTCGGTGAACAGTGTGCCAGCACAGCAGAACAAACAGCACAGAGACATGTCTGAGCCTGTCCATCTCACTGGAATGCTCATCTGTTTCTGGGCTTCGGAGGGAGGGAGCAGCAGACACTAACACACCTGATTAATTTAACACACAGGCCTTCATCTATTATTAACCAACCTGATTTTGATGTGGGAATAATTAGGAAAAAAAGTGCTTATAACGTACAGCTGCAATGCCCCCGTGGCACAAAGCATTTTCCCTCACTTTTCCTCTACCTTCCTGTTTCTCTTCACTGTCCTATACATTACAAACACACAAAGGCCATAAATAAAAAATACAGAAAGTAAAGAAGTAGATGAAACTGACAATAGGATATTGTGTCGTTGAACTTAATCCATTACACTGCCCCTCAATGTTGACACCTGTCAGTATATTCTTTGCTCAATGCCACAGAAGTTTCTTCATTAATTATGTGTAAGAAATTGAATAATAAACTAAGCCTTAATACTGTAATATTCCCTAAGACAGCAAAAGTGTGCACCAGACTTTGTGCTGATAATCAAAAGTCCTGATAAGTTAAACTAGGATGTGAATTTACAAGATAATAGTTTTAACATGAATTTCAGAACAATAATATACTTATAAATTAACATTAATCTAGTAGTCTATTATTTAGTTTAATGTATTGTTTATGATATCTAAGACATTGAATAATGTTAACAAATTGAACCTTAATGTAAAGTGTTACCAATGTTTTTATTTCGATAGAAAATTTGTATATAAACAAAATAGCTGTAAGCATAACTCTGAATTAAGTCTGGTATTGTCCAAGCTAAATCATGTATGTCTCTGTCATGAATGAATGATGGATGTATCACTAGTAAAAT